GATTTTGTACTTATTATTTACTATGTTAGCGAATAAATAACTAAAAAATATCACTAATAACTACAAAAGCGTAGTCTATTGGTCGTGTATGGTGTATACCAGAAATAGGTATGAGCACAGCGATACGTGTATTTCACCGGCTAGTCACACAATGAAGGTATAGAGTTTCTGGAACGGGGAGTGTGGGGAAGCTTTCGGCACTAGTTGCACCGTCTGTCAGACGATCTCTTTATAAGCTTAGGGTTACGGGCAGTTGTACGTCATTAGACTGAAGTCTTTTGTTTTTATCTCGACATTCAAGCATCGTCTCACTTTTAGCATTCGGTGCATCTAAAAGCAAATGCTTTACTAAAGGCTGTCTAAAACATAATTTGTTCAAGTGTAGCAAATTTCTAATAGAAAATTCAAATGTAGTAATTTTGGTTACATTCTTCCACTTTTTCCGAATGTCACCCGCCCTTTTTGTTTTTTTCATTTTTGATATATTTGTGTTCAGCGAGATTGAAAATCCAATATAGCAATTATTTTTCATTTTGAAAGAGAGTGATTTTTTACCACGTTCTAGGCCTTTGCTCCACTGTGCGATGCGAGTACCTCGCAAGGGCGACCTTGCGCCCGCACACGCGTTCTCGTGCCTGGCTTCACGGAACGCGGCCACAGAAGCAGAAACTCCTGCGGGAGTTAATTCTACTTTTGATACTTCGAATTCCTGGTTACATGAAGAAGAGGGGTGACTCTTCTTTCTCATTAGGACCAATGTTAACTATTCATCTTCAATTTGGATTTTCTACGGGCATAGGCACATAATTGGATTTTTTTCGAGTTTTAAGATGATACATTTTACATTCTTGCAAACCATTTTCATAGTACGGAAAAAATAGGGTCATACTGTCGGGAAAATTGCGATATTTCGACAGAAAAACTCTTCTTACGCAGTTCTGGCAAAGAAAAAAGTAATTAAATCTTGTTTCAATGTGTAGAGCATTACTTCCTTCAACGTAATGTGTGGTCTGCAGTCACATTTGGTGGGTTCTGCCTTGAAACCCAAAAATCGATTAACGGCAAAAGGTTCTGTTCGTCAGTTGGTCTGAACAACACCAGAGGGTAATTCAACCGCTAACAAGATTTTCACCAAAATTGATATTCCCTGATCGATTTGATGGATTCGCGGCCCTTTTAAATTGAAACGAATATTTTGATTTTTGCGGGCACTTTATATGAAAACTATAAAACATTTTCTTAAAAATAGCTTCACATTTTCTTAATTAACTTAATAAAATCTGGTGTTCAAAGATAGATTTTCAAAGTTCAAACGGTGTCATTTACAATTTTTCGAAAATAGTTCTCGAGAAATTTTGCATGAAATAAGGGCAACAGAGATGCGCATTTCCTAAGAACATTGGAATTTTGCTACAAATTACGTTTCGAAACAAATTTTACTCAAATTTTGACACAAATTAATGCCATATTTAATTTAAGACAAGCGTACTTTACTAAAACGTATTTAGCTAAACGTCCAGGTTCAAACTATCTGGGCAGAAATTATATAGGCTCAAATTTGAGATTTGGTCGTAGTTTTGTCGTACTAGTTTCTGTTGATAAAAAAATATTATTTTTCCACACACAGGGATGCTACTTGGACTTCACAGTAAATTAAAAGAAAAAAAATAATACGAAATTCTCCACGATTTACATTTCATTGATAACATTAAAAGTAACACAGGTAAAATTCTAAAACTAGAGAGAAATGTTTGGAAAAAATACGCATTCTACCACATACAATAATTATTTTAAAACAATGCGCCAAACAGTTTCTACAAAAATTTCTTGAACCTCAGAAAAAGTTTAAAACTGCTAAAGAACTATTAATAGAATGCCGAAAATAATTATTTTCAATTCAATTAAAATTAAAGTTTTATTTTTCGTTTCATATGTACGTGTATTTCATTGACATTTTGTTTTCTTTTCTGAGTTTCAGTATTTCAAATTATATACTTTCTGCAGCAACATTAGACTTGAGGTCTAAACATGTCGACGAGGAAAACATCAGTAAATATTTGATCAATTTTTACAGAATAGTCTACTTCTTTATGACAACAATTGCAATAAATTACATTTCCATCCGCCCTGCAGACAATCGTTTTTGCAACTCTGTTTGAGAAGTGCTTTCCTGTCGTCCGCTATCGAAGACACCGAGACGGGCTCCGCGTGTCTCCCTGGTCGCGTCGCACAGCGCGTGTGCCGGAGTGCAATAATAGGCTCCAACCAGGAGCTAACGTCAATGTGCTATGCCACACAATATGCGTCAAAATACTAAAACATACTTAATATGCTACATAGAAGTATAATATGTCGTATTAATTTTAATAAGCCCAAACATGCATTACACATAAATTACTAAAAAACAACCCTACAGGCATATGCGCTCGGAAAAAGGATGCATTTTTAAATGAGCTTTCCGTGAAACATTTATAAAGTTTGATATATCTACGAAGCTTAAATAAAAACATACATGGCATGGAATTATGTCTAGTAATGAGTTTGCAAGAGTTGATAGAAATGTGACAGAAAATGCGGTATTTTTTACGAAACTCATAGAGACGAGAAAGTAAGTGGTGTTGAAGCACTAGTTGACATTTTTTAAAAAATTGTTGCATCTAACGACGCAACGCGTCTCCAAGCCCTTTGGGGGCGTTGGGCGCTTTGCGCTTGGAGTACTCCTCCGTTAATTTAGTGAGCTTCTTAGGTGCAATTCTCCATTACTAGTATGTCACGTCTCGTCGCATTCGTCAAGAGGACCGCCAGGTAGCATCTCCGCGTACGCGCAGCTGCGTTATTACCCAGCGGCCAGAATTGGGAAGGAATCAGGCTACGGATAGGGTTTAGGACGCTCACAAGGGTTGGACTAGCGCCTGTGAAGCATGCTAACTCGTTTGGTCGTAACGAATTTCACATGAGGTTCTACGGCCATTCTAAGTGAATCGATCCCGGAACCTGAGTGGTAAAAGGCAAGCGACGTCGCCACATTAACATTTTAAATATGTATTTGCAGGATAAATACACAAATGTAAATATAGAGTAGTGGATTAGGGGGTGTATAAAACAATACTATCCGCACGAGACACGGAAATCTGGTATTGAGGCTCGAAAACGCATTTATTCCATTTATGCACGAATAGTGAGCTGCGGTGAGTTGCGGGTTATATCTCTCCTCAATATATTTTCTTTAATTCAATATATTTTAACACTAATATATATATATATATATATATATATATATATATAAAAAAGTTTTTTGCACTCCTCCATATAAAATTTAACTATGCCAAATCTCAGTCCTCCGTATGACCAATATGCTTAAAAAAGGGTTACACAATTTTCTCTTCATGTTTCAATGTATATATTAAAATTTAAAAAGCAAGAAATTTGAAAAAGTGAAAATTCTTTCATAAATGCACAAAGCACATTGCCAAATGATGCCCTGTCAGTCCAAGAGGAAGGGCGACCGCCCCCACGGCGCGTCGCGGGAAGCAGGAAGTTTCGAAGGAATTGCGGAAAGCCGGACGAGTGATTGCGCAGTTCGCAGCAGCCACTCGCCGCCCGCGGGCGCAGCGGGGCGCAGCGGTGCGCAGGGGAGCGCAGGGAAGCACGCCTTCGATAAAACTATCGCAAAGCGACGCTAACGGACTTCGAGCGACGAGATAGACACCCCCCCCCCTCAAGCCCCCGGCACCGCCGCTTAGGGAACCGCCACCCACGAGTCCGTCTCCGACCGCTTTCACAGCACTTGCCATCGGCGCGCGAGAGGTACATACTCTTGTCTCCGACACTTATCGGTTTTGCCCGCATGCTCCGGCCCTCCCGGGCAGTCACGTGGCAACCGGCGTGCTCTGAGGAGTGTTTGTGTTGGCGGCTTAGCAACCTCGTCAAATTACTTTCTTCGACATTGCTATCCTACATGGATGTTAAGGCACTCTTTCGGGGATACAGATACGATAGATACAAACTGAAAGTATACTTAACATATGTAATTTAAAAAATAACCTCAAAAAACACATTTAATGGAATTGTATAAAATGTTAAATTTAATAAATAAAATAAACTATGAACAAAGTAGTATTTTATATCAAATGGAATAATAAAGCCCTAATAGAATGCATTGAAGTAAGCCAAGAAAGCATTGGAAACGTTCAAGAACCCCAAACTATTGCAGAATAGTTTTAAGAGGGTTGCATAACCACATGCACAATAAAGAACAATGTGCGGGGTAAGGCAGGGAGCACGAAATGAGCTTGTTTGCAATTGCGGTACGAACACTTTCAACACTGGCTATCAACAATCAAAAATATTAGATACATTACAGCTTCTATTGCTGCACAATTCAATTTATTAATAAGTTGGTATTTGAAAGCCAGTAATTACCACCATATTTCTGTTTTGGCACATGGATTACACTTTGTTTATAGCCCTAAGAATACACGTTTCGCCATGTCGCGCAAAAAAATATGGACCATGTTTCACATGGAGTAGATGCTGAACCCGAGTTTACTTCCTACTTATACTCAACGCTTCAGATCCCTAAAATTGCCCACTTCATAAGACTGAAAAATTCGGCTCGTATTTACAAATGTCGTTAGCGCCGGAGGCGATTTTTGGACGACTCACCCAAGTCGGGCCACAGTGGCGACAGAGCTTCGTCCACCAACATGTTGAGAACACATTGCCCAGAAGAGTAAAACACCGGTCTCTCCACCGGCATAGCGACGAGACTAGCACCCTCTTCGCTCTTCGGAGGATATCAGGTCATTCCACTTTCCGGGGCGAACCATCCATTCCGTCGAATGGCCCGCCTTTTCTTCGCGCAGTGTGGATCCTGCCACGTGCAACTATGTCCACGATTCTTCCGATCGCGCCACAATTATACGACAGAGTCCGAATCTTCGATCTTCACCCGTCGGCGACATTCGTGTCGCCAGAATGTCGATCCGGGAGCCCGAAGAATGCCGCGTTCGCTATCACACGCTAATCTCCCGTCCGGCAATGGATTCGACCGCTCACGGGCGACGCCCGCGCCGGCGACACCTGAACCACACGGCCGTCGCACCGGCGAAAACGACCGCCGGCGACCCGCCTGCGTTGCACATGACGTCACGCCGTCACAGGCGACGGAGCTCGCCGCGCCGCGCCGCCCCGCCCCCTGCGACTGCCCACGTACGCACCGACGCTCCTGCCATGTGCACCCGTCTCGGGCACGGCCACAGAACGTCTTCCTCGATCTTGACTGCCTTGCTTCCGACGAGGTGCTGAGGTGGAGGTCGGGGACAGCCAATTCAGAGAAAGCAAGAAACGATCCATACGGAAAAATAGGTGATAGCCTAACACAGGACATCACCACGCGGATTTTCTTGAAAAGAAGCAGAGAAACGTGGTTCGAAACTAAACATAAAAGAGTAAACACACTTCAATCATTTCTCCTAATTATCTTATTTCGGATTCTATATAGGCCAAGTACACAAACTACACATGGTATCCACCATTGCTGGAATTCTGACAATGATATCAAATTTTCCAAGTATTAAACAAAGCTGCAAATTATCAATATTATAAAACTTATGGATTCATTATCTTGTTTATGTTTATCTTTTGTTTCATCACGGAAATGCAAGTACATGCAATTTAGGGTTAATGCATTAAAACCTAATGTTCCCAAAACACTTACAAAACTTTAACATTCTTATACTAAAGTAGAATATGCACGTTATTACACATTATTTATGTTTCTTCGGCAAATTAAATGCCACACATGTCTAATCTACAACTTTAATATCAAATTATTAGAATGTTGCTCTCCATGGATCATTCATGTTGCAAAATAAAGGAAACGTTTCACTGCTACTGAAATCTAACTCAAGCAGTATAAACACTTCTTGAAAATCTCAAGACAAAAAATAACTTGGTTAGTGCAAAATAATACTAATAAGAACAACATTGTTTATGTTTCTTCGGCAAATTAAATGCCACAAAATGCACCAATGACAAAGTTGATGACAATTGCACTCTTCCATCACGCATTTCTGATATATCGATTATACACAAATGATAAATCACATCATATGTATACAATATTTAATTTTTGCAAAAATCAGAACAACACTCACCGAAACTAAATGAATTTCCCACCGGTGGCAATTCCGGAAAAAACATTTCTGACACATCTTCAACTCCATTATCTTCAAGATGATCCGTTATGCGCATACTTAATTACGTTCACAATACTTAATTGTCTTGGCACTGCAAATACACAAAAAATTACTGAACGAATACGAAATTATCCATTTCTATTCTCTTTCTTCCACGTTTCTCGCGATCGAAAGTACATCCAGCCAAACGCAGAGACAGCCGGATTTTGCATCCGTCAATTCTGGCGATCCATGCGCACTCTATAAAACACAAATGAACCACGATGGACCAAAACATCACAGGAACAGCGCTCTGCGGAAACCTATCGGGAAGAAGGAGAACCAACTTCGGGAATGGCGGACACGCGGAATGGTAAGAAAATTTGTAATTCTTTGTGTTATTGATTAATTACCACTATTTATTAATTTAAAATTTCATTAGCATCTCAATTACTGCTTTGTTTTGTGGCATTTTTGAGCCTTAATGTGTATGGTTAACAGTGCCGTATACTTGATGATTTCCGTCATCGTGTATTAATGATGCCAAAATCAAACGTTTGTGTACGAATACCTGACTTGTTTTCAGATATTTTCTCCGCAGCGGGAGCTGCATCTAGCCAGTCTTGTGATTCAAAGGTAAGTACTTTTGTTCATCTGCATATTACCTCCTACTAGGCTGTTTACATATTGGTTTTAATTTTGGCTTTTTATAATGATTAAACTTCAATTTTATGGTACCAGGAGTCTTCCTCAAAGTTAGTTGTAATGAAAGTTACTTCACCGGAACCAAATGGCAAAGAAGAAAAGAAAGAAAGTGATACTGACAAGTCATTTTCTCCAGTTGCTAGAGCGTTTTCATCTCCTAAATCAGGTATGGATATTTTGTTTACATACTCTTTTCATATCTACATGCCTCAGAGGATTATTAAAGAATATTAATTTGGGTGTGGTAGGTGTTGGGTGTATTCAAAATTAATTGTAAACTACCCTTATTCAATTTCCAATTATCAATTGTATCTTCTGCTCCAAACTGACTGTTCTTTCACACAGATAACCCAATTCTTTCATCACCACGTTTTGGATCATCATTTGGTACCAAATCTTTTGCCCTACGACAAAGTGCGTTTGGTGCATCTAAATTTGGTGGAGGATCTACTTCATCTTGTTTGGCTACAAGTCCTAAACCTATTGTTTTACGCCCCTCTCAGTTAGCAGTTGGCAGCTCAGAAAACCAACAAGCATCTCTTTCAGCAACAACTGAATCAAAAATAAATAATCCTTTTGCAAGAGGTATGTGAAACAATCTGTGTATTGCAAGTGAGTGGCTTATAATTACTACGCAAGTTGTATTTTCTTTTAGTTCCTGCAGTGGCTGAAACAAATTCTGAAACTCAAGCTAAGGACGCTGAAAGAAGTAAACTAAATGAATCTGAAACAAATTCAGAAATAAATAAACAAAATACACCTATTAAGGGAGGTGTTGCTGATGCTTCTTCAAGTCATAAAGCTGATGCACCTGTAAATTCAGTGCTGTCATCCCCTAAATTTGTACCTCTTGGCACCCCAGTAAATCAGAAAGATGAAACAAGGTAACATCATTTTGGGATCTGGATTTTATAATAAGAATTCCAGATATTTTTATGTATATTTTTGTTTCAGTTCATCAGGGTCTGTAACAAATCCTTCGACAGGTGTTAGTGGATTTGTGTTTGGGCAGAATCTTCATGAACGAGTGGTATGTTTTCTTAGAGTTGCATGTACTTGGTGTGGTTCACTGTATTGTTACAATATAATACACTTTATCATCTCTACAATGAATGTATCATACATGAACTAATATTTATATGTTATACTTTGATTAACAATCAAGGACCGTTGAGACTTCTTCAGTTGTGACCCAGCTGTCACCCAATCGGGGGCTTGAACATTGCCAAAGTGATGTTCAAGCCCCCAATGTTAATTTTTATGTTATGGAAAGTTTTGAGCTTTCAAGAAACTTAATAAAAAATCATTTGAATCACTTATAAGAATGGTGACCCAAAGGAAACCGGATTATTGTTATAAAAAAAATCTATTTATAACCTTTTTTACAAAATTTCTTAAGATACTTTCAAAGTACTCTCCATTAGATGCAATGCACTTGTCAAGTTTTTTACTCGTGGTTTCAAGCCCTCTGGAACTCATCCAGGGCCCTGTGTGAAGTTTGCCTCTTTTCCATTGCCTCTTTTCCATCAAAACGCTTGCATTTTAGATTTTCCTTCATTCTTTGGAACAGGAAAAAGTCACCCAGAGATAGCACTGGGGAATATGGGGGTGGGGAACGACAGACCACCCATTTTTCAAGTCCTAGCTCAAAAGCAATTGAATGGTTTTTTTTGACGCCCTGAAAAGGCAAGCAACAAATTTAGCGAGATCACGTCTCATTTGCAAATACTCAGTTAAAATCTGAGAGCATTAGCTCCAACTTGTTCTTGTTTCTTCTGAAATTTGTGATCTGTTCTGAGCTGTTGAAGGGTGCCCAGAGCGAGCATGGTCAACATTCATCTCCTCTTATTTGAAGCACTAAAAACACTCGTAAATGTGTGTGCGGCTTATAGTATCCTCATTAAAAGCCTGTTGAAGCATTTGATAATCTTCTGTTTACTGATTTTTGAAACAAGAAAGAAAATTTTAAAAACACACTCTTATTTCTCTTAAATTTGCCATAATGGTTTCACAGACGGAACATCAGAACAGTAAGAGAAAAACAACACTACGATCAAACAGTCACATACAAACTGATGCCACCTGAGCAGTGGTTTCATGAAGGTTTCTATTAACCTCACCTAGCCACAGAAGTTTCTAATCAGTCCACGAAAGGCAATGCACTCTCAGTGTGGCTATTTTTTTGGGTCCCCCCTCGTACTCACAATTGCAATATTGCATAAAAAAAGATTTATTAAGTTTCTTGAAAGCTCAAAACTTTTACATGAAAACAAACTCAAAATGGTGAATTTGGAGAAATGCTCTAATGTCATTTTCTACCCTTCTACTACTGTGAAAGTCTTATTTCAAACCTACCTTTTTTGGATTAAAAAATTGTCTTTTAGGTACCGATAGGTATTAGCTGAGGAGATACTTGGGCTATTTTGAATAGCTAGCATAGAATAAAGGGATTAGAAAACCAATGAGCAGGATTTCAATTATTTACAACGAGCGATTTTCATCTTTGATTTAAACCAAATAATTCACATACTAAAAATGTCAATTTAAATCAAAAATGTAATTTATTGTAAATTTTATAAAGAATGATAAAAAATTTTAAGGCAATAAAGAAAAGAATTACAAATTATAACATTTAAAGTATTGATTTATTAATAAACACAAAAATATGTGCCTTTACACATTAATTGTTTACTATGGAACACCAATTTTGTTGCTTTTTCTGTTCCAAGGCGATTTGTAATTTTTCATTGGACAAGTCCAAATGTGGAAAATATTTAATGTTCTGATGTTAATAAATTTTGTTTTACAATGTTCTTTTTTTATTCTGTAAAAATTTTTTAATGACTTTCACACTTTTCAACCACTCTGTGGTTATGAGTTCTTTCATAACTTTTGGATCAAAAGTGTTCTAGTAAAAGGAGCTGTTCGCAATTCAAATTTTTAAATTTTCTTTGCGTTCTATACCAACATCATTGTAGTTAGATTTTGAGCGTTCAAATGCTTGTTCTTTTTTTTGTTACTTTAAGGCATAAGTGTGTTCCAGAGAATATTCTGGCTTTTTTTCAAATATCTAAATATTTTACCTAATTTGAATGTTTAAATTTAGATTAAAAAAAAAAATCATGATTTTTATTAACCCTGCAAACTAGTATGAGAAAGTCTGTGCCTTTCTGTAGCACCTCTAGTTTTATTTCATATTACTCCTAATCCTGTTCTGAGTGATGTGTTCAAAGGGTACAGTATATGCAACTGCCCAAATGGTCAACCTCATGTTATCTTTTGTGAGACATAGTTCTACTTCTACATCTCCAGTTCCCTTGAATTTTTGTTCACACATTTTCTCATGACGTTACTTGTTTTTTTGTCCAAAATTTTACATAAACTATTTCTAGAGCCTGGATTGGTTTACAAATGCGTATTTTTTGTGCTACTAGTTCGAATATGATTAAGTTTCTTTCAGAAGTAGAACATTTAGCACTTTGTAAGTAAATATTCATTAATATGTGGTAATGTAATTTTAACTCTTTCATAGTCTTGTCTCTTCTATTAAAGTAATTGACTAGACAATAAGATTTTGAAAGTGACAATAATGGCAATCTAACCCCTTCAAATTATTGGCTTAAATTGTTTAGATTTTGATCACCAATTTAAATCACAATTTAAACTGAATGATAAATAATCACTGATGTACATCACTTTTAACAAGTTATTAAAATAAATATTTATTTTGTTGTTTCTTTCAAAGAACTAAGAATTATGACACATATTCAGAAATGCAGGTGTAAATAATACGGATATGAAGCGAAAAAAATTATTTAGAATGATTGTAATTCCAAAAAAACTATATTTGAAGTTCACACAACAATGAGAAACTTTTAAAGATTGTTATCAGGGTTCATAATTTTGTATAGAAACATGAGCTTGGGAATCTTTTCTGTTCCCAAATGAGACATTCCTTGAAATGATTCTTGCTTCTTCTTGGGAGAAAGGGGATATTGCTTTGCCACACCTTGTATGTTACGCCATAGCCTGTATGCATATGTGTAAGCACATCTTTCAGTTATATTCTGGCACACATCTCACAATGTTTTTCTTTTCTACATTCCAAGTGTACGGTGTCTCAAGTATAGTTTTTGAAAACTTCTCCATGATTCCGGGCATGTTAAACACAGTTTTCAAGCATTAGTACGTAACAGGATGTTTATAGCCGAAACATAAAGTTCAAAGATTCTCAAAACCAAAAATGATTAGATTAAAAATTCATCACGGACTGAAATCTGATTTTTTTTACTTAAAAAAAATCCACGAGTTTTAGAAACTTTAACTACAATTGCGTAGAAAGTGCCACAGACTGGCAACAGAATGCGCTGGAGACCACATCACCAGTTACCTTTGAGGGACTCGGTGGAATACCTGTTTTCTGTCTACATTTAAATATCATTGCAGCTAATGTTAAGAATAACAACTTATTACAACATAAATATTAATTTTTGTGTTTATTTGTTTATTGAATAAATTCAACAACAGTCAAATATATTTTCATGTTAAGGCATGTATTGGGAATAAAAAGAGACCACTTACGTGAAATAATACCCTGCAATAATTAAAACAAACCCGATTTTAATACACACTATGTTATGGATTTAAATAAATAATTCTTTTATTTTGGATTTAAGAAAGATAATCATGTTCTTGAGAAATGCTATGAAGAAGGGAATGGAAAGTATAATTAAAAGTAGAATTTCAATGGAAATGAGCAATTTTAAATTAATGCATTTAAAATATTTGAACTATTGTAACGTTATGGTGATATCAAAATTTTAAATGAGTAGTTTCTTGTACTTTTACAGCAGGTGTCTGAAATGCTCTCCAATTCAATTTCACAAGCAATGAAAGTCCTGCAAACTCATAATGACAGCTAATAGTTTTTCCTGGGGAAAGAAAAAAAGTCTTGAAGTGTTTTAATACAGCTAGTAAAACTTTTTAAAATGGCAAGTTCATGGGTATTGATTGAATTGTGGAAGTACTAATTAAGTACATACATACAAGTTAGCTGTTGTTTTGGAAGAACATTTTTGAAACGAAACACACAATGTTCTTGTGAAGGGTATTACCACAGAGGATAGAGTTCTCTTTACGGTAATATCTTATGACTATATAGTACTTTTTACTACAGAAGTGGAGGCTTAAGAACTGTACTACAAAACAGAATTAAGGCCATTTACATTTTCTTTTTCGAATTAAATGATAAAATGTGTGAATTTATTCTAAAATACACATGTTGTATCAAGTTCCATAACAAGTGTTTAAACTTGCAAAGTTTTGTTTTCTGTGTTAAAAGTTCGGTTGTCTAATGAGTGAATTCTATTTGTTTAGAAGCAGAATATGTAAGATATGACAATTGAACTTTTCATGCTTGTTATGTTTCAGGAGGTTGCAAAACCTGAAGTTCCTGAGACAAGTATTAGTGTTGGTGATACATCTAATGTGAGTTTTGTTAAGTTGTGCTCCTATAACTGTAATTTACTTTAAAATACTAGTATCAAGAGGAACAACTAATTTGTTTATTTGTATTTAAGCCTGCTCCCAGTTCTTCGGCATCTACTAATGGAACATCAGAAATGCTTTTTACCTCTGTTCTGCAGAAGGAATTAGGCACTGTGAGTGATTTAAAATAAGTCTTGTTTAGAACTTCTTAGATATTCATGGCAAAACTTAATTTTTTAACATAATTTTTTAAAGGAAGAAAAAAGTGCTAGTAGTAATAGTAATGACAGTGGAGAACGTCCAAGTAAAAGCCTAAGTGAAGCTGCTCGTGAATATGAAGAAGCGAGAGCTGTGAAAAGAAAGTATGAAGAAGTTACTGTTGTAACAGGAGAAGAAGATGAAGCTAATGTTTTGCAGGTAAATATAGTATTTGCTGTTAACCTAGGTTGAATGATAACCATTCTACTTTAATTCTTAATTACCCGGAAAAAAATTTTCTTATTTATTTTATTCAGCTTAATTGCAAGTTATTTGCTTTTGACAAACCCACATCAACATGGGTAGAAAGAGGACGTGGTAATTTGAGATTAAATGATATGGATGGACCAGATGGTTTGCAGTCAAGAGTAGTGATTCGTACTACTGGAAGTTTGCGTGTGGTACTCAATACAAAGGTAGTATTTTTCGTATTTTGTTAATGTGGTCATCTATACGATTTGTTACAATTGGATATTTTGCAGATATGGGCTGGAATGGTTGTTGATCGAGCAAGTGCCAAAAGTGTACGACTTACTGCCATGGATAACACTGGTCAGATTAAAGTGTTTCTAGTTATGGTAAGTTTGCGTGTACAAAAGATCAGTCCACACTTTGTATGGTGACCTTGTCAGCCAAATGTGGAATGATGATGTGCTTTTTTGGAAAGTTTGGTGGAGTTTTCCAAAAGACTTTGCAAACTGACCAAACATGTACTGTTCCATCTATCTGAATGGTATTAGAGGTTTATTTGCTTTGAGATCCTTTATACTTTTTCAGGACTCTTTTTTGCTGTTAAATTTTCTGTGTTAACAGACATCTCAGGTTCTTTCTAAAATGTCTGTTTTTATTTACCTTAAAAAATAAATTAATTTGACATTCTAGGCCAGCCCAAAGGAAATTGAACAATTGTATCAAGCTCTTACATCTCGAGTGGCTCGCAAGCAGCAGTGCAAGTCTAGTAAAGGTGAAAGCTCTAGTTCACAACCACCTGAGTACAAAGAAGTCAGTTGCAGCAGTTCAATATTGGAACCTGCTAGGAAAAGACCATCTCTCTTACAAGATGCTGGAGGTGGCAGTGAACCGAAGGTAATTAGAAAACTAAACATGAAACTTAATGGAAAAAAAAATTGGATTCTGATTAAGTCTACAACTAACTGGGATTATATTTAAATTATACAGGTTTAGTAAACACAAATTTAAAAAAAAAATTAAAAAAGGGGGTTAAAAACCGATTCTTGTTTATGGGTGCTGTATCTATGTTTGTCTCTCACGCAGTTTCATTACAAGTGTAGATTAATTTAATGTGTGTTAGGATTGAAATGTGAATTAATGTTTCATTATGAACAAAGCTTTTTATAAAGAAAAACATGAAAAGTACTCATTATTACATACATTTTGTGTCTATTGTTTTATGTTTACTTTTCTTTTTCTTAAAGCTTTTGATATAGCTTTTTATCCTGAGTTACTTGATGAACTTCTCAGTGAAGTGACCAATGCAGTCTCCCATTAAATTGTTATTTCAATGGTCTTTAAAATATGAAAATGTTATTTTCATCAAGTTGATCAAATTCTCTGATCAATCTGGTTGAATTTCAATTAGATGTTTAAATTTTGAGGGTTCTTTTCATGTCACCCCAACACCACTTTCAAAATTTTTCATTTATCCCATTCTGTTATGTACTTTTTTTAAATATAGGGAACAAACCTTCCAAATTCACAGTGAATCCAATATCAGAAAGTATGCGTTATTCCAATGAGAATTTAACAGTGGTATTAGATCTTAAAGAAGGGTGATCTGTATAAAGCTGATTGTTTCACACAGAGTCATCTAAAATTTAGATGATTCCCAATTTAAACAAAAAAAGAATATTGTATTACCACAATAAATGATGTGTTAGTAGATCATGAATTGCACAACTTCCAGAAACGAGGAGCCTTTTGTTACTTTGACTTTAAAAAACACAAGAGGGAGTTAGCCTTATCTAGATAATCTTCATTACCTATGTTCAGCTTCAATAACAATAAGCTGGAGTTTTACTTTTTTTTTAAATGCTGAATATTGGAGGTATAAAAAGTTATTCTAAAACATAAGGAGAGAAAACATGGAGTATTTTAAAATCACTATGCTCAATATTATGTTGAGATAAAGATAACAGTATGTGCAAGTGGATGGACAACCATCATTTGAAAATAAAACATTCCTGATTTTGTGTAATAATTTCTGATTGTTGTAACTGTCGGAGTAGAAACCTCAAGGTTGAAATGTAAGGTGCTCTAAATCACAAAGGGAAGGTCTGCTCTTTAGTACATTAACAGGAAAACTTAATTTGCAGATTCTGAGTCTATGACATGTACAGGGTTAAAGTAATTTTAATTATTCATTTAAAGTATTTACAGGTAACAGTACAACTGGTGTTGCCTTAATCATCACTAACATGATTCTTAATTGACATGTTTGTGATATACATTAAAGATATTTTAGTCATTATAACATTATTCAGTAATTATAATATTTTAGTAAGATATTTTGGCCAGTCAGCATTACTAAATCCTGTGGGATTTTCACTGGCTGCAGAAAGAATCCTCCTTTGCCGGTTAAAGCAAGGTTTGGGCCCCCGTTCTAATCAATGGCCTGGTGTGCCAATCCAATTTCTTTCCTAAACCCTCCACAGGCTGATAACAGAAAGTCCAAAGGTTCATGACCCTTCCCTATCTGTTTTCTTCCTGCTGCTTCCTACAGCTGCCCCTAACATGGAGACAGGTGCTGTTTGCAGCTGCCTGCTGTACGCGAGTTAAAATTGGCTATTCCGCCATGTTCATCAATCCTTGCTTGCCCTACCAGTAGCTAGGTTACCACTAACATAGCCCTGAGGCTCATGGGGTTACTTGTGCTCCACCACCAACTACAAGATCGTGTACTCCCTAGGTGTTGTTGTTGTTGTTATTATTATTATTATTATTATTATTATTATTATTATTGTATGTTTAAACATTGCTGGTTTGCAGGAAGACCTGGTTCTCAAATATCAATGGGCTTTTTGCCAAGTGTGTTATTTGCTATTTATTTAAGGTAACAGACTTCTGCATTAATTTTAAAAGCCTTGGAGGAATATCAAGTTTTTGAAGGTTTTCTTTAATGTGTTTTTCTATAAGGCTTGTACTGGGGATAATTATTGGGAGAATGAATACTTGGTCCTAGTACCATTGATCTTTGATTTGATAGGCCAGATTGCTGTAATTCCTTATTTTTTCCTATAATGTTTTTTTTACGAGTTCCTAAAGGAAGAGCTGCAACATCAATGAGGAGAGTAGTTTTTGGTACCTTGAGAGTTATCACAATATCTAGCCTTTTATATTCCAGGGCCTTGTGTGTCAAAATTGTGCGATCGAAATAAATTCTGACCTTTTTGTTTTCCAACACTGGTTCAGTTTGTTTGTGTAGAAATGGGCATGATGATCACTAAAGTTATGGTTGCTTGTAATTTGTTGGTATATAATGAAAGCAATTGGTTACGGTGCATTGTGTAATCTGTCTGTGCAAGGGTTGAATTTCTTGAAATGATTTTTATTTTCCATCCACACATTACATATGTGGTATTTATCAGATTGGACCTTGGGATCTTTTTGAACTTGTTTTCTGTAGTTTCGGGTGGGAATAACTTCATTCATCAACGGCTAACATGAAACCCCCCCAGTTTCAGCATATAAATTTCCATCTGCTAGCCATTTTATTGAGGCTGAGAAGTCTGTGCATGGATTGTGATGGGTGTGAAAGAGTTCATCGTGAATTTGTTTTTCTGACTACTGGTGTTGCTTTTGTTTTTCTGTTTGAAAGGTAATTTCTTGAAGAGTGTCTTGGTGCAGATGTAGAGGGGTAAGATTTTTATCTGCTGATTGCTTTGTGTTTCAATGACAATTTTGATTTATTGAAGAAGTATTCTCTGAGTGAAGTGATTTGTTGGGAGTGTTGTTCCTGGATGTCAGTTATGCCTCTCCCTCGCAGGTTCCTCGTCAGCATAGACCTCTCTACACATGATTTGGGATGATGCTTTTTATATTTTGTCATCTTTGTAGTAATTAGTTTTTGAAGATTTTGGTGGTCAGTTGAGCACCATTTAATAATACCAATGCTGTATGTAAGAACGGAGACTGCATAGGTATTTCTGGCATTTATAAGGTTTTTCCTGTGAGGACTTTTTATTAGGTGATGTAGACAATTTTTGAATTCCATCTGAAGAGAATTTTTAACAAGGGAATCTTTGTTTTCCACAACTTGCATTATTCCCAGATACTTGTAAAGTTCACCATCTTCTAGATTAGGTATTTTAATTCATTAAATTCTCTTATATCAATTTTACCTTTTTCAATATGCAGAGTGCGACATATGTCTAAGCCCAGTTCCTTGTCAAAATCATTTGAGAATGTTTCAACAGTTTCTAGAAGACTTTATAGGTTCTCATTTGCAGGTACATATAGTTTTAAATCATCTCAATAAAAGAGGTGGTTGAGAAAGCATTGTGTTTTTCTTTGGTGTCTTATTGCAACTCTGTCATCGTTAACACATGTAAAGCCATGCAAAACTAGAGTAACCAGACATTTTGAATCCATCACATCCTAGAGCTTTCCAATTATGAGTTCATGAGAGAGTTATTGTGATATCATCTGTGTCATGATTCCATTAGTGATATGTTATTGTGTGTCTTTCTTTCATGTTGCATCCAAGGAGAAAGTTGATGTGATAAGGCTGTGGACCAAATGCTGCTCCAGATGCTCTTGATCTTGGTGCTCATGCTCCTGTACGTGAGCATTGACACTTTGTTTGAGGTGTCGAGAGAAAGCTTTCCCATTTCTTGTAAAGAGAAGGTTTTGCTTCTTTCTGTCATTTGCTGTAATGTATTTGTGACGTTTAGCATTTGTTGGCTTTTGCAGGATTGTTAGCTTTTGCCAAGATTTTTTGTTAGATTTAGATTGTTAGCTTTTGTCTGAGGGTGACCAGTGTTTGAAAGTGCAACTCTTCATTATTTTCAAATCTCGAGTGTGTTGTGTTTTGCACACACAGATCTAATTTATTTGTGTTTGCACAGTTTTCCATTGTTCACATAAGCTGTTAATTTTCCATTGTCTTTTCTAAGTTCTTCAATTGATTTTCTTTTTTTGAAGAATACATTTTGGGTATTCTTGGTTTCTCACCTGGTGCTGTATTTTCATATTCAGTGTGTGGTCCAGAAAACATGAAATTTTGTCTTTCCCTAAATCATTAGTGCTTTTAGTATTGTTGGAATCACAGTTACCATTTAGGATGTGGTTTCTCTCCAGTTGGATTTTATTTTCAACGAAATATATCTTGGCAGTTAGATGATTGGCATTGGCTGTGCAAATTTATTATTGAATCTTTGATTGAGTCTAATTCTTTGTTTGGGAAAAGATGATGTCTGATGATCGCATGTGTTCCAAAAGTGATTGTGCAGACGTTGGTATATCTGGATACTTTATTTGAAATGTTTCTAGAACTTTATCTCTATATGCTGCCTTGTTCCAGTTTAGTCCAGAAATAGTTGACATATTCAATGTATTTATTTTTTTGTCCACCTTGTGCGCTGTTGTCTGTCCTCTCCCTGTGGTCACTGGAACAGAAGAGCCCTGTGAAAGGGTTGTAAGAGGGTAGTATTTCTATTTCCTCCAGTCTTTTGTGAATCCGAGTTAGCCTGGATTGCCACTGAACTCTGGCTCATTCTCAGATTGTTCCCTGAGTAAACAGTATGGGAAGAGAGATTTTTGTCTTTAGTTTCCATGGATGTTCCAACGAGTAGCTAGGGAAATTACTAGTCATCTTTAACAGAGCCCCATGTGCCAAATAAATGCGGTGTTTTCAAACCAGGATGTGCCATGACCTAGAGTTCACCATTTGAAACTTTTCACCCTCCACCATTCATCCGCTCGGCATGGTTGTTCCACCTTCGGATTTGTGTGTGTGTGTGTGTGTGTGTGTGTGTGTGTGTGTGTGTGTGTGTGTTTTCCACCATGCAGGGTCTTGTATGTAGTGTCATCAGAGGCAAAGATCTTGCAGATACTCCTCCGCTTTTCCCTGAGGAGACCCGTGTTGAGTCAACCCCAAACAAAGGTGCTAACTCTCCCACCTCCTTGACTTATTATTATTATTATTATTATTATTATTATTATTATTATTATTATTATTATTATTATTGTTGTTGTTGTTATTATTATTATTGTTATTGTTATTAAATACACTCAATTCTAGTGCATCTGTTACTTAAACACTTGAAATTGGGAATTAAATTCATCATAAAATATAAAAAAAAATTATAAAGTGTTAATCAGCTATAATTAATAATTATTGAAACTTATTAATTATATATGGTTCCTTAAATTAACAATTTTGGCAATTCTTTCCTAAACATATGTTCTTATGAGTGTGAATGAAATGAGAAACAATGACTGTAAGAACAGAATAAGTACTTTTTTTTTCTTCCAACTAATAGAGTTAAAACATTAAAACACCCACCTTGAATTCTGAGGGCACATGAGTGCCAGAGAGTTGCTATATGTGATAAACAGCCAAAGTTATTTCCCATGGTTGCCAAATTCCCACACAAGAGCAGCTGCTCACAGACATGGGTTTGCAATATAAAATAAAGTCCATGCATGTAATGAAATTGACATATTTTCAGTCGGTTTTGGAACTGACTTAGCCATATTTTTGTATAATTTAGTCATCCGTGACATATATTTTGGCTGTCATGATCAATACTGCCCAGATTTAACTCATCTCTATACAAGTTCTTTTTTTTTCTTATTTGTTGTGCATTACACGACCCTTTATATTTTAGGTTAGTATATGATGGTTGAGAGCAACCAAATATCTACAATAACTTAATAATGAAAATAAACACCCAAATACAAAATTAATTTGCCAAGTTTAAAAAATCTCCACTTGGAATCAATACTTTTCATTGAAATTTCTCCCACCAATCTAGCCTTGTTGTGTCTTCGATGTAACTTTTTCTCTCCTCGGGAGTTGTTTACTCAGTCACATTGTCAACGCAAACTATTATTTTCCAAGACTTACATTGTTTAGTAATTGAACTGACTTTTAACCACCTTTACATTTTAGAGAAAGAATTTATGCTTTTGACATGGTCTACAAATTTGCAAACCAATTACTTTGCCATAATAAAATTGGTTTAATTTACATAAGGTACACCATTGCCTATACCGGATGGATTTGATAATTTAATTAGTTAATAATATTTCATCTAATTTTGCATCATTTAACTTTATAGAATGTTATAATTATATACAAATATTATAATTTAAAATGTACATAATATTTCAGTGTACTTTGAGAAAGAAATCAGAAGAGGTTTTGAAATGTTGCAATAAAAACAGAACTGACTATAAATAAATTCTGGACAGTTTTCCTGATAATAATAAAGGGAAAAATATAAGTTTACATATTTTGAAGTTCAGTCCTGTTTCCTACAGACCTAGGCAAACAGTCCGAATATGTTTCAATGTTCATGAGGGTGGTCGTGTAATATGCAATTTTTATTTTGCTTTATGTGTGTGCCAAGTACTGTGCCTATTTGATTAGTTTTGTAAATGTACATTTTTCAATATCCATATGACTCGTGTCACACTTTGAGAAGGCGTAGTTTCTCCTCTCAGACTGCCACTTTCCATCTTTATTTTTTTGCTTTTGTCTGTGAATATCAGGAGAAGATTATTGGAGAGCCTCACAGATGAGTGTATGAAGTTATTGAGAGTTGGTGTATCTACAATCAGTTTTCATAAGAACATTGCTGTGTTTCTTTGATAGATATGAGTGTCTTTATGTAGGTGAAAGCAAGCCAGATGTCCTTTAATATATAACAAACACTGAAATATATACAGAAGTCAAAGACAATGTTATGATAAAATAATACATTTTTACAGGATCCCTGTGCCAACAAGTCGTGCTAATTGAAGAAAACTTGAGTGCAAGTTATTTTCCCAAATAATTGTGTCATCAGTTTTTCACCAAATTTGATATTCCCTAATCAATTTGTCTGATAAGTTCCAGCCCTTTGAATTTGAAATTGATCATGCAATTTTTTGAGGGCACTTTACATGAAGCCCCTAGGACTTTGGAAAAGAAAGAGAAAGAAGGGAAAGAAAATTGTAAAAGTTGAAAATTTTGACATCGTCTTTTAACCAAATTACTGAAGAAAGATCTTAATTTTCGTAATGGAATTTGTTTTTGAAAATTAATCTTTAAACAATTCCATAATTCATTTTTAAAAAAATGTAGTTTTTCATAATTTTGAGTAAAATTCAGTCAATTTAAAAAAATGAAAACATGATTTTCCCAAAATGGCTCAAAATATTTTTCTCACTTGAAATCACTCATTTTATTATAGGTTTGTTCATCACGACATTTCTGTTTGTTGCAGATTTAGTTATGAAGCAAGAAAATCAAGAATAAAAGACTATTTGATAATGTGTGTGAATGAACTGGAAGGTGTTGTTATCCATTACTCTGCAGCAGACTACACGCTGCTTTCTAGCTGCATTATTCTTACAGTCGTAATGGAATGAAGCCTATTTTTTTATATTTCTGATTTTCTATTTTTTTTAACAGAGATAAAAATTCAGTAATGAAGTAAATGTTTGTGAAATAGGTGTTGTGAAAAATCTCAAGATTAGTGAGACAGTTAATGAGGTACTTCTTCAAGAAGATTCACATTCTTAGAGAAATTGATCTGGATATGACAAGTCAAGTTACTGTTAGAACTCGTATGTGTGTATAAGTTTGGCATATGTTTAGCAAGCATTTGCTTTTAGATAGTTCTGTGAGAATTTGTTATCAAGTTTCTGTTGTTTTTGTAGTGTTGAAATTCCAACATAAACTTACTTATTTATACTTTACATAAATCAACATGAAGTACAACTAATGTAGACTGTTGCTTATTTACCTCATCATAAAGAAAGTGAAACTATAAGTAAGGAAGTGCTTGCATAAACTTCACTGTTCATAGAATCTTGTAAAAGAAAACATGTTAGAATTGTGTAAATATTAGGGTATAGCTTCTACCTTTTCATGAACTTTTGCAGTTCCATGATGCGGAATATTTAACATCGTATTTCAGGTGGATATGGAATTTGGGTATTACTCATAGAGTGTGAATACCTTGACATGCCCAGTGTAAAGTTTCAGCTTTCGATATTAATTTGTTCCTTAATGGAATAAAAACCATTATATGGCACTACAATAGAATGTATTGTTAGGAGCATGTTTGGATACTTCTGGCCCTGGTTGCAATTTTTGTGTGATGACTTGGAAACATTTTGTACCTCACTACATTTGATAAATATAACTTTTGAGATAAAGAGTATTTTGTATCACAAACCATGCTATTCAGTTTCATTGATTCTTTTGACGTGAATGGTGCATATTTCTGGAAAGACTTCAGTACTTAAAGAATTGTTAATTTCTTGAAATGAATGTGTTTGTTAAAGTTTGAGAGCACCATAAGTGTTAACAGTTTACAAAGTTAATGAAGCTGTGTTTGATACAGTGGGCAAATGACTATACTATAAAATTACAATTTGGCTCTGTTTCTGGAATTCCTTGTTTTTTATGTGTGTGATAGTTTGGTGATGTGTGCACCTAGATGTTTTTGAACAGTGTTATTGTCAAATAAACAAAATTCTGAAGAAAACTGTTCGTGAGCAAAGTATGTGGAAATGTTGCAGCTTTGTGTGAATGATTTCATTTTGAATTGTTCTCTTTGTACATAGTACATACATTACTGTAAAGTCTGAATTATTTGTGCATTTTAATTTTTGTATTTAATTATTTATCCCATCCTAAATTCTGTTCATTTATAATAAATTTCTTTAAGAACTTACATTTTAAAGATACATATTTATTGTGCTTACTGCAGAAGGGTAGTATGGAGATAAATTCATTGATAGGTGATAGTAATTGTGGGTTTAGAAATATTTTTAATATTTAAAGCTGTCAGTAAAGCTCTCATTTGTGTTGCATGATTTTTATGCCTAGATCAAGATAGACTATTTTTAATTTTCTATTTATTCTTATGAATGGACATAAAGTCTAGCAACACTGAACATATTTATGAAGAGGTGCATTACATATTAACATAGATAACAATTGAATTTAACCTCAAATATTGCTCTTTGTTTGCTTCTTATTTAACAGTTGGCAAATTTGTACTGATTCCAAAGTCAAGAATGTTCTAAATGTGGCAGTTCATATTGGATGTACATCTCTCAAGACTCATTGGTGCACGTGTTACTTCAGAGTTATCCTGCCTGCAAGAGAATGTGCAGCAGTGGATTTATTTCAAGCTACAAATGAATGAATTTTTGGCTATTAGCTCATCAGAATTTCCATTTAGACATCATAGACCTAATAGAAAATATCGTGGAGTCATATTGACTCTGGTGTTCAATTAGTGGGGTAAAGGTTTTGAATTGTGCATAAAAGATGTAGAACTGAACATTTTCATTTTGTTAGCTGCATTTCAAGTGTATTTATGAAACGTGAGAAGATGCACGATACTTAAACGTACCAGTTATCTCATTTTTACTGATTCCAAATCCTAGACTTGCTCTAAATGTGGCAGTACACATTGGATGTCCATCTTTTAAGCCTTCATCTCGTTACTGCACTTCATGTTATGTGAATAAACATCTACATACTTATTCAGGTTTCCTCATGACACACAACTTAAACACGAGTTTAATTTATATGTTCAAAATGATTTTGATGTCAGACCTTTCATATCTGGATGGTATTACATATTTTGAAAACCAAATTGAAGTTCAGGTATTTTGGTCATCAGAGTTGAAATATCAGTTTGACAAAGAAAAATCACGAAAACAATTGCGCGAGTTTATGTCTACTTGCGAAATCATGATTCCCGCCAAATGTTACCATTTTTATCTACTCAAGGCACGTGACTTCAACAATGTAGTTTATCCCCTTGAAGTATGCAATTAGGTTAACAAGTGAAAGTATCTTTGTAAAGACATTGTTCATCATTTCAAGGTTATTTCGGAGTTCTCAATTTATAAATGCTGTATATAGTTGTAAAGGGAGTTTTGTGCAACTATAATAAGAAAACAAAATCTCCGTAAATGCCAGGCAGAAATCAGCCCTCTGCCATTTTACATTATTGTGAAGTCATTTCCCGTCACGTGACTGCCCTCTTCATCACTGAACCAATCAGACAACTCGCATAGGAGGCCTGGTATCTTCTTTTTTGCGCTTATTTTTCTGTTGCCAAATTTGTCTTCTGTGTTTAAATAGTGCGAAGGGGAGGGTTGGAAGGAAAACAAAACAAATGTAGACACATGTGTTGTGTAGTCCACTTCACATTTCCGTCCGTTCGAGTGCGCTGATGTGTCGGACGTCCTTTTTCGCGTTTCATTTGTTTAGGACATCATCTGTACAGTTCCACTTCGCATTTTAATATTCCATGCAAATATGTGTGATTGGGTGCGCGTTTGTGATTTTGAAAGCCCTGAGGTAAAAAAACAGAAATGAAACAAGTGTACAGCATGTGGGGCGTGACGTGTTGTCTGGAGGACCTGTGATGAACGTATCACCTGACAAGATGATGTTTACTAGAAATAAGAAACGAAGCACTAGTACTTCAGGACACCAACAAAAGAGATATGGAACGTCACAGGAAAAATATTATGAGCGCGGACGTATGAGCTACCAAGAAGTAAGTATAGACTATAGTTTGTTGCTTGCTACTCCTCACTTAGTCACATGTGACAAGAGAAATGTTGAAACCTTACAGTCTCGCCAGTTGCCTACAATTTCGGAATGTTATACGTGCGGGAATGCCTGCGTGTGTTCGTGCGTATGTGTGCGTGTCAGAGGGTCTAAAAATATGAACCGCTTGCAGGAAACTTAACAGACTGCACTGGAAATAGCGTGTTTTAATTTATAACCTCAACAAGGGAAATATCTGAATAAGTGGGTGTACTCCCTCGCATTTCCCTACAATGGCTCTGAAGAAGTACGTAATGATTCCAAATTGTTCGCGCTTATGAAGAGAAATTGGTAAGCTTAGCGTGCGGAGCATATGCTCGACTTTCCTCCGGGTGTCATGTTGAAACGCGCTGAGCAAAATTAAATTAGGTACTATTCCTTTAATGTGAATTGGAGTAGAGCGTTTGCCAATAATACTATACTTCCTAATACATTACTTTTTTCTATACCTACCGTCAAGTTAATTTCTGACGATGCGTTGACGGTTTTTACTCACGTGCTCTTTTGACACGACATCAAGGGAAAACATTGCACACCTTCAAATTTATGAATATAATTACAAATATTTCCTTATGCATTCAGTTTATTTTCGATTTGTAGAAGCATCTTGTTTCCATCAATAGATGACAAATATTATTCTAATATAAAGGATTTGCAGGTAATTGTAAATTAGAGATGGCATCTCTGGTACATCGAAATGCCTTTTCATTTTAATTTCTCGTAGAGGCTGACTATAATTGCACCAAAACTTACTCTAATATTCCACATCCAAAAAGAAAATACGCCCTATCTAAAAAAAGGAAAAAAAATCAAAAGGATGTAATAATTGTCTCTTTAAGTCTAAATAGCGAATTGAATTGTTCGATTAGAAACTCTCGGTATACGAATATTCGTGGTTTCTGAATTACCTTTCAATACTACAGCTTCTTTTATTAGTTGGTCACTATAATCTAAACGATACTATTACGAGATTCATTTGTACTTGCAAGAGGCCTTCACACCATGCAAGCCCATTTGCTTTACCTTTTCTTTTTTTTTTTTGGCAAAACCATAATTATCTTCAATAAACTTTCATATCTCTTTAACTATTATTTTTTTAATTACTTTCAACAATTAATCATATGTTTCAGGCTCGACCAGCGCCACGAACCATTGTGGTTCACAAACCCTACAGAGATGAAGAAGGTAAGTCTAGTGCTTATTTCGTGGTTTAACAATCTTCAGTGGAGAGTGGACTATTTAGGATATAAATCGAATTTCATATTCGTGTCGTTTAAATGATAATAGAGAATAACATTTCTATAATTTGAAATTATCAACCAGTTGCTTGATAATTATCCTTATTTCAATACAAGCAAAATTGTGCGAGACGAATGCAATTAAACTTAAATATGAAAAGACACACACGCGCACAAAAAACAATTTAATCCACAACTCGAGTTAAAAGCGAGAAATTGTCCAGTGAACCTATTTTATCGGGATATTTTAATAATTTCAAATTACGTAAAATGAAAAACAATGCTGTGTGTCTGCTGGATATGGTTACCGAAATGTTTGTTCAATGATTCAGAATCCGGTGGCCAAGATCGCTATGGCCGTGGCGACCTCGGACCGAAGGATCGTGGGTTCGAGTCCCGCCTCAGGCATGGTTGTATTGTGTTCGTCCTTTCACCCTCTATCATCATCGTCATATCGTGTCATCCACATAGTTGCCATACCGTTACGATCAATAGAATATCAGCTTCCACTGGTTTTACGTTCTCGCTACCGCTTACGCAGTAGAGAGAAAGTGACGTAATGCTGCACGAAAAAACGGCGAATTTTCGGCAGATTAAGCTCTTAATACAGGTCCTTAGTATCGAAAAAGTCGATAAATGCAGTTGCTCAATTTAGAAAAAAATCCTATATTACACGTGTTGTAGCCAGAATGCATGTTTTGTGGGTCCTTGATACCGAAAAAGAAATACCGAAATTTGAATGACGACAAAACGTCCGCCCGCCCGTCTGTGAATTGAATTGAATTTGCCTTATTTTACGTGGCGAGACTAACAACTAGCGGCTAAACCATTTAACTGATTTTTTCCAAAATTGATATTCTCCAATCGATCTGGCTGTTGTCGCAACCCCTTCTATTTGAAATTAATATTTTAATTTTGGGAGGTGCTTTCCATCAAACCCCTGGGACATTTTTATAAGTTTCAGAAAATGGCTTCATCGCTTTTGATTAAATTTTGTTGTTGAATAGTGTGAAGGACGTTTAAGACAATTATCCAAGTATCCATTCGTTGAAAACCATAATTTTTCGAAAATTGCAATAATTGAACATCTTTTCGTCCTCTTCCTACAACTAGAGTACAATGCGGAAGATACTACATAAGTTTTCCTAAATGAAATCTGTTCCTTAAAGATACATTTTGAAATAAGATCATGTACAATTTTTTCGAAAATTTGGGTACTTTCCACGTAATTATTCGTGGAAGTACGGGCGAGAAAGCTCGTGTTGTTTTAGCGCCACTAGTTTGAAATCTGTAGGCCATGTGGCGGAATTTCGTTCGTCGGCGAAGACGTGGGCCTCGACTGGTCCCGACGTTCGCTAGATCTGCCACAACTGGGCACCAGGCCCCTAGTCAGTGGTTCTAGTGTTTCCACTGTTTTGTAGCTGCAGTTTGTTCCTTGATAGTGAAAAATCCATTGACGGCAAACGTCCATCCGCCGTGAGTGGACAACGCCGCCGCTTGAAACGTTCACCCGATGTCCTCCAAATTGAGATTTCCCAATCGATCTGGCTAATGCCATCTCCCCTTGAATTTGAAAATTATATTTTAATTTTGGGGATACTTTACATGAAGCCCATCAGACGTTCTCATAATTTAAAAAAATAGCTCCAATTTAAAAAAAATTAAATCTTGTTGTTGAATAGTGCGAAGCATATTCAAGAGATTGGTGCATGTCTCATTTTCGTTGGTATCTCTGATTTTTTTCGAAAATAAAAGTAAATTTTAAAACTACAAAATTGAAGATGGAGTGTTTTGCCTCAGACAGTGGCCCTAAATTAGCTCTTAAAAAAAGTAATGTACAATTTTTTGAAAAAAACCAATGTGGTTTTTGTGAAGTTTACGCATGAAGTTAACATTTTTTTCGCAAAATAACTAAATATTTCTTTATATATTCTCCACGTATGTCACAAAAGACGGTAAAAATATGTGTTGCTAGGTTTTTTTGCTATTGCTTAGTTTTTGAAAATTGCAACAACCATTTGTTTAAACTACAAAATTGAAGATAAAGATTTTTGCCACAGATAAAGTTTGCTGTACTAAATTAAATCTTTAAAAACAATCATGTAGATTTTTTTGAAAAAGCGACTAGTTTTTGCGCAATTTGCGCGTGAAATTTACAAAAAATATCTCAAAAACCACTCCAAAAGTTTTCTTTAAATTTTCTCCACATATGTAATAAGAGAAGGTAAGAAATATGGTGAGAGTCTATTATCAGGTATTGCATCCTTTTTAGAAAAAATGCAACAAAAAAGAAAATTCAACATAACAAAAATGAAGATAGAGATTTTTGACCCAGGTGAAGTACGGTGTACGAAATTAGGTCTTTAAAAAAGGTCATGTACAATTTTTAGAAAAAAGTACTTTTTGCCTAATTTCTCCTTGAAATTAATGAAATATATACAGGTTTCACTCCAATTGTGGGCCACGGGAAAAAATTGAATGAATTATGTGACAAATAATGATTTCAATTTTAATTATAATTTACTATTGAAAATGCCAATATTCATTCTTCTTTTACTTTCTTGCACTTTTAATTTTTACTTAATTTGTATGCTGAATGTTTTGATGTATTTCTGTTTAAGCAATCCACAAAGCTTAATTGCAACAGTGCCGCATCGATACTTGAGAAAGTCGTTGTTGTTGGAGGTGGATATGGTGATTATATACAGCTGTTTTGTTTAGTAAGGGCCAAGCTGTTGATCTTACATCCACTTGAAGTATTTTTGGGGTATACTTCGCCGTGGTCTGTCTGGCGAACCCTTACACCATTCTTACCTTCCAGCTTTATTTCCTGCGCTTCGTGTGAGGCGGTGCAATGTTTAAAAAGGCGGGCGATAAATTAACGTTTTTTAGTTTTATTTTTTATTTATTTATTTGCGTCAAAAACAGTTAAAAACTGTGTATGACGTGATATGGGGAGAAGTTAATTTGAAGTTACATTTATGTCCAGAAGCAAAACAACTGGTCATCTCAGCATTTGCTCGAGGATCAGGCAAGCTGGTCGAAAAACTGATCTATGACAGGATCTTTACTATTATACAATCCAAATGATCTTAAAATTAAAAATCGTAGAATATTAGTAATTTAATCAGTTTATTAGTGTTAGAGTTAGTAATGAACTGTGTTTGATGAACTGTGATTATCCGATAAACAAGTTGAAATCTGAATACAAATGGAAATAAGCGTTTTTGCCGAGAATTGATATTTTAGTCATGTGAATGCACATGCTGCGCTGGCAACTGTATAATTTCTTGCGAACACTGTATTCCTATTTGTCAAATGCATCCCTGTTTGTTTCACATGTCAAAATAAGAAATGATTGCTGCCCCTAACTATCGAAATGAATGCAGATATGCATCAGAGGCGCTTTGTTTGAATTGGACATTTTCAAGTAATAGCTGTGATGTTTGTAGTACAGAAAATGACATATTTTAATATTACGTAGCTGTTTACAATAATACGAGGAAGTATGTGCTGTTGTAGCACATAGTTTGTTAGTGTTATAGAATTCTTTGATAGATATCCAATCTATTCAGGGTTCTAGATATTTAATCGTTTCAGAGTAAAATTGTTTTTGCCTTTCACATTCCATCATCAATATCATATTCTCTGGAATTTCATTATTTTCTCAAAGGTTTCATTGATAGTGATAGAGTTACCAAATTGGACCACAAACCGTTTTTGAGATGCTGTACCCATCAATGCAGTAAACAATCTTGTGCTGTCAAGAAATACCAAACGGTGCCTACGGTGGAATACTATCTCACACAAGTCGGGCAGATGCACGTGTTACATCCAAGAAGTGTGCGTGGATGTGCGCAAAAACCAGAGGGGTCGCAGAGGAGTTTAATGCTACAAGACACCAAAGTCTAGTATTCGCATGTATTTCGGTCGATTAGAAACAAGTAGTGCTGCCAAAGCACAGACTTTCTCGCATCATTTCTAAATGCTCCGCAATATTATACTACTACATAACCCATCAAAAGTGTTTTCAAAGGCTTTTTTTTTTTTCTACCGGAGACCCGATATCAGATCCTCAGAGTTCGCTTCCTGGCACTCATACCACGCCGCCACACAAGAGCCGTATGAACTAAACTCAGACAGAGGCATAAAAAGGTAAATGCCCGATTCATGTAAAAGAAATCCCTCAATAGTCAAAATATCCGTTAGAAACTGCCGAAGCCTCCAGTCCGTTGAGCTCTATCAGGGAATATCAATTTTTGGTAAATGGGCTGAACTGTTTAGGCGCTAGCGTTGACCACAGCCGGACTGGCAGGTTGACTGAGAGTGATTCCGCGCAGCTCCTATGTTCTTGCGCGGGAGGTAGCGGTGATCTTCCTGCCCTGGATTGGATGGCTCTTCCCCAACCGGGTGCCGCCCAGCAGAGGTGTGTGCAAAGGGGACAAGGAAGGGGAAGAAGAGATCGCACGCGGTCCATTTGGTGAGATGCTGCCCCGACCACGGAACCCACGGAAAGCACCTCCAGATCAGTGGCACTACAATGACAGTAGTTGATGCCCTTAACCACCTCTCCCGCTTAACCTTTAAGGATGTACAAGTTGCTCCCATGGGTTGTGTATATATTGTATGTAAAATTTAAGTTGATAGATTGATTAGTTTATATAAATCAGTTGATACAAATGTACAGAAAGACAACGATTGGTTTGATGGTACATACGTTTTACAAATCCAACAAGAGATGTAAAAAAATGTTTAAAAGTCGAAAATTCGAAAATCACATACAGACAGTTCTAGTTATTTTTTATCTTAATTAATAGTATTTGCGATTAGAATTGCTCCAAATAGGTTTTAATAAAGTTTCTGGAATTCTCAATTATTTCCTGCGGCAACAGAGAATTGTGACAAATAATAACCTCTGACCGAGGCTCTAACCGGAGAATCTTCCCA